CCCCCCCCCCAAATAGAGGGCCAGGGATTTAGCTCAGCGGTCCTGCCACCTGCCTCGTAAGCACAAGGTCCTGAATTTGATCCCCGGTACCAAAAAATATATATATATATCGATAGATATAATCTATAGCTGTAGAACAGTAAGCACACTGCCATTAATCCTTCTCAAAATACTCCCCTGGCTTTGGACCCACTTGTGCCTTTGGACCACTCTTGCCGCTTCTGAAGCAGTCCTAGAAGTCTGTCTCTTTGAGTGTGACAAAAAAATAGTGAATGCTGCTGCGAAGGGCCATCCAATAGAAAGGCAAGCTTGTAAAACCATCACAGTGTATCTGCAACTTAGCCCAGAGCTGGCACTGTGTGCCACTTCTGGTCCTTCCGCAGAATCAGTATGACCATGATAACACTTTCAGTCAGTTCGGGACATCGAGGCGGCCATGACAGCACAACTAAAGACAATCACAAAAAGGACTTCCAGCACTGCTTCTGAAAGTGGCAAGAATGCTAAGTGTGCCTGAAGCCAGAAGTATTTTGAGCAGGACCAGTGGCAATATGTCTTTTACTGCAATCAATTTTTATTTAAACATTTGCTGTATTTTTCAATCATACCTCATATTTGGTATTTATGAAGAAAACTCAAGCACGCACGCACACACACACACAAGCAGCTGCCAACACGCGCACACACACACACACACACAAAGCAGCGGCCAGTTTAAAGCCAAAGCTAGGTTTAATGAACAAGTAACCCTGTTCTAACACTGCAAACTCAGTACAGCCATGCCAGGCATTAATGAGGTTTTGTTTTCCAACAGCGGCCCTATAGAGTCAGCTAGTGACACTGTAGCTGTCTTTTTCTGGTAGGTTATGCTACGAGGCCAGCAGAGCAATGAGGCCACCCACCAACACGTCTCAGAGTCAGTCTCACTGTAGGCAACGCACATTTTATTTTACACCTAAAAGAGCTAAAGTACAGAATTTCGGCTACCACAAAAACAGCATTCCCTTATTACACAGTTTCACTTTTGCAACCTGGGCTGCTTACAACGAGCCGAAGTTGGCACTAGCAGCCCTGCACATACCCTGTCTGCTCCAAATGCTTCAGGACACATATGTTCCTGTGAGTGATTCCTTTTCTCACACAGGACAGAGAAGACTGGAAAACCAGCTATTATCAACTTACATTTTGTGAAAGAAAGGAGAGAACTTCAGGATGAACTCTCTTGGGCAAAGAAAGCTTTATGAAGCATGTTAGGTGTTAACTGTCCCACTTGTGGGGCCAGTTCATGTGCATCCCGGTCCTGCTCCAAGAGCAGATGTCCCCACTGACAATGCAGGGTGGGGTGTACTCGGACACCATAGGTTTCACTGTGGGTATAACTGGCAATTAGGACTACCACAGAGACCCAGCCAAATGGAACAAAATGCAACTCTTTTTTAAGGTACTGGAGATTCGACCCAACACTTTGACACAGAGCTACATCCCCAGCCCTTTTTAAATTTTTTTATTCTGAGGCACAGTCTTGCTAAGTTGCTCAGGCTGGACTTGAATTCACCATCCTCCTACCTCAGCTTCCCAAAGTGCTATAATTACAGCTATGTACCACCACACTTGGATTAAATGTATCCATTTATTATTTTGTTTTGTTTGAGACGATTTCTGCTATGCAGCCCAGGCTGGTCTCACACTGCTGCCTACCCTCCTACTGCAGCCTCCCAAGTGCTGGAGTTACAGGCGCCTCACTGTCCCTGGCTTCCCGCTCATTATAAATCTCATACCTGCCCCTTTGCCACCACTCCCTTTACTACTCAGACGGAGTACGTTTACGTTTCCAAAGACTGCAGGCTATTAGGCTTTTAAAAGAAAAATAAGAAATAATCTCTAGAGTTTCCAACAGCTGAGGGGGAGACCCAAGAAACAAAGCCCTTGGGCAGTGGAAGATCACAGCCTCGGTGCAGGAGGCCTCCCTGGTCTCCCGCGACGTCCTGAACAGTCCACTCTAAGTGTTTCTGACAGGCACCAGCCAAGAGGCACCAAGAGATCACCAGTCAAAGAAAGGGCGAGTTCTCTCAAGCTCTTAGCAACTAGATGTGAACACAGCAGTCCTGATCACCTACCCTAAAAACTGGAAACTGGTCAAAAGCTGCCAGTGACACACAACGTGGCGGGTCTCCCTGTGGCTGTCTGTGGAAATCTCAGCAAGGGGCTGCATCCTCTGGACGGCACACCCCGCCCACGGCCAGCCAGGGAGCCTGCCAATGGGCCCAGCAGCTCTCCCACTCAAGCCGGCCTTGCTCAGGCTGCCTGTTAGAGGCACAGACGAGGGACAGACACCCACAGGGGTGGTACCCGAGGTAAGACTCACCTTGCGCACCACCTCCTCCTCCTCCTGGCGCTTCTCGTAGTGAGAAAAGTCATCAAAGATGGAGGTTGTGTGCTTGTAGGAAGCGATAATTCTCAGCACTTGCTTTGCTTTTTCTAGGGGCACCTCCTGGGTGTCTCGGGAGTTTGTGACCGGTTTGTTGTCGTTGTTCTCCAGCCTGATGTGCCGGAGCTGGTTATTGGGCACATCTTTGACAAAAACCCACTTCACGTCAAACTTTCCCTTCCACTTGTCCTGAGACCAGACCCCAGCACTAGTGCCGTAGTCCACGGGGGACTTCATCTCAGCCACTCCACAGAAATGCCCACTCCCGTTGACACTGAAGAGCAGGTAGACGGGCCCCTTGCCACTCATGGCACGGAAGGCGCTGTCCAGGCGCTTATTGCCATGTTCTGTGCTACACCAAATGGAGTACTTGATGGAGCGGTGAATGTCATCCTCAGAGTAGCTTTTTATGATGAACACCCGTCCACTTTTAAGATTCCAGTCAAACTCTTTAGGGTTGTAGCTATGGGCAGCTTTCAGTTTCTCAAGGATGGGGTGGGATTCTACACTTGGGGCAGAATTAGGCTGGGCATTTGCAAAAGAGTTACAATCACTGCTGGCCCCTCCACTCTGACCAAATGCTGCGTTTCTATTACGAGGGGCAATCCAGCGAGTCTGGGGTGGCTGCTGAGGGCTCGGATACTGTGGTTGCACCAAAGCGGGAGGCTGAGCTGGGGGAGGCTGAGCCACTTGCTGGGGCTGCGGGGCAGACTGTGGGGACGGTGCCTGCTGAGGGGCCTTTGGAACAGGCCCCTTGTTATCCCAGGTACCAATGTCCATGTTATGCTTTATGGGAGGAGGAGGCAGAGCACTCCCCATCACCGGCCCACTCTTTGTCTTCATTTTAGGCTGCGGTTTTGCAGGCTTGCTGGCAATAGCAGCCCAAGAGGTTGGTTTTGAAACTGGAATGCTTACATTTGTCCCACCATTGCCAGAAAGGACACCCGTCAGTGCCACACTACTGACAACTGAACCTACTGTCTTGACGGCAGAGGTGGTCACATCCCCGATCTTTAGGCCGACCATGCCCTGTTCCAAGCTGTTCATCCCAGGAGCCTTGCTGAGCGTGTCACTGTGAAAGCCCGTCTGCCCATCGACCACTGAGCCTCCCAGGGAGCTGGGCGGGTAGGTGTAACTGCTGCCATAGGCTGAGCTCTGAGTCTGCTGCCCTTGAGAGCCGCTTGTCCCCCATGCTGAGAATGCAGGGTTTTCAGGGAAAAAATTAAACCTGTGCTGATAGATATTGTTCCCCAGGCCCCCAGGCTGCCCAAAAACCGCATCGTGCATAAAATGATGATCTCCATTACTGAGCTGTCCGTAGGTGGTAAGGTACGGAATTGGAGGGTCTCCAGCAGTGGACCACGGTGCCTCATTGAGGGAATAAGGAAATCCAATGGATGGAGGGTAGTAGCTCGACAGGTAGGGGTCACTCATGGAGGGGTAACTGTTGCTCTGTGAAAACAAACAGGTGACTGGTCAAGCAGCTGTCACACATGGGAAGACACAAGCAGGCTGAGCAGAACAAGCTTGACATGGTGTTGGGCTATTCCTCCTTGGGCAGAAGGTCACCAAGGTGAGAACAAAGCCAAGACACAGAGAAATTAGTAATTAATATGACACAAGCCTGTTGTTACCTCAAATACAAAGCCTTATTTGCAATGATCCAGGCTCAAGTCAAACAACTGAGCCAAGCCTCTTGGAGCAGCATCCTTCTGCTTTTACACCCAAGGGTATCCAGGTAAGAGAAAGCTAGAGTTGGAAATCAACCCCAGTCCCACAGCAATCATGCTAACCACTACTAATAGCAGAGTAAAAACTGAGAACGGCCTTATGAAGGCACTGGGCTATTTCTGACAGCAAACCATGCTGTTAGGGCCACGGAGCTCCAGCTTGCTGATCAGCTGACACACCCCAGGTAACCACCTCTGAGCCCTGGTACCTGCTTTCCCACACTGGGACTGCAGGACTCCTCACCAACCTTCGAGTGCCCTTTCAGAGGCCTCTTCACATTCCTGCCCCAACCTGAGTGCAGGGGCTCTCTCCTTCCATTCCCTTGGTCTCCTGAGCATAGCCACGGGATCTCCGAGTGGGGCCTAGCAGCAGAGGCCCCTGGCTGCACCAGCTCCTCCTCCAAAAGCAAGCCCCTCAAGTTATGGGAACTTTGCTCTCTGGTACAGAGAAGACCTCACTTTGGGTGCCAGCCTCACTGAGCTGCCCTATTGAGGCTTCCCTCTGCCTGTGTGGTGCAGGAGCATCAGAGGGGCTTACAATGGCCACACCACAAGGCAGCACAGCCTTGTGGTTGAGGATGTAGTACTTTTAGTCTCCGGGGCCTCTGAAGAGCTGCCCAGGACTCGAATCCAGATTTGGGGCTAGCAGCTCTGGAAGCACAACTCACTGGAGGCTCTAACACTGGTGTCTGAGGTGATGAAAGACCCTTTCCTTTGAGTGGCACACCTGCACAGGTGCCCTAGAGGAGCAGAAGCACCCAGTGCAAGGTCAGAAAGCTGCACTTGTCAGGAGACCATTCCAGAACCATCTTTGACACTGAAATAACAGTTGTTTCTCTATAACAAAAATATTTTGAGTCTACAAATGTAACACTATCAGCATTCCATAAACATGAGACAAACAAGTTTATCTTCCTTTGAAAGGAGTTCTGGCTCTTTTACTGCATCCTCCCCTACGTGTGCCTCTACCTAGGCAGCCCTAAAGCAGCTCAATGGAGCAAGGCCTAACAGGAGAAAGACTAAATCAACAGGGAGGTCTGGGGAAACTGCTGAGAGACGTGCAGAGATGTGTTCAGTCACAGCACAAAAGGGCAGTCAGCCCTCCTCAGCAGTTGCAATAGCCTCAACTTGAGACAACAGATCCAATGGCAGTATGACATTCCAATCTAGCTGGCCACAAACAGCAGAGCAATGGCAGTGAGGCCAGAGACACCCCAGGTGCTTATGACTTATACTTAGGCCTTTACTGCAATAGAACACAATTTAGGGCACAAAGTAATGCGTATTGTGCCATGTGCATGAAATTCCTACCTAAAAGTCCACTTGAGGTATCACTGTCAAACTAACAGCACACATGTCACAGAGAGAGCAACACGAGTGGCCCACCATACTTCCTATCCTGCAAGCCAAGCAGTAGGTGGCTCTCAGCTGCTCCCAGGCCAGCACTGCCTAACCTCACCTCAGTAACATAGGTTCACACACTGGATTCCCCAGATTCTGGAATCCCTGTCCCTCAGGACACTAACACAAAGGTCCTAGCCTGTTTTCCCTTGAAAGAGCCACCACACACTCGGACAAGAAGTACAAGGTCAATGAAGATGTATGTGCATCTGGGAAGAGAAGTGGTCAGGTCGCTGGGGAGGCAGCAACCTTGAGACGACTTTGCCTCTCTTCCAAGTTATCCAGTGGGGTAGGCTCTAAGGGACAGAAGGCCATGCAGATGACAGCTCTTTCCTGAACACTTAAATACATATAAGAATACGAAAAAAGATAAGGATTCCTAGTTTCAAGTTCCCAAACAAAAAACGCTGTAGTGTACTAAGAGCTCCCTGCAGAGCACGGCAGGCCCACTGGTAGCTGTCCAACACAGCACTGAGCCCTCCTTCCTCTCTACATCATCTCTGCCAGTAGCCTCACATCTGTAGGCGCGCTCCATCCTCAGCAGGCTGCGCGTCCACACAGGCAGTGACCTAAGGTGCTAAGGGCCAAATTTCTGTCCACTTCTTTTACTGTGTGTATGCGTGTGCGCACGCGGATGTGCACACCGTACTGGCAACTGAACTCAGAGCCTATGCAACTAAGCTATGTACCCAGTCCTTTCTTATTTTGAGACAAAGTCTCACTAAGTCATTGCCCAGGCTGGGCCCAAATTTACTAACCTCCTGCCTCAGCCTCCCAGAGTGATAGGATTACAGATGTGCACCACCACGCCCAGGACCAATTCCAATCTTTACCTCATCCTTTGGCAGCTCATTTTCTATTCCCTCTGCTAAATTCCCTTCCTATTTCTGGAAATAAAGCAGCAGATTATTCTCCAAAGCTATCTGAAACCAGCCATTCTCTACAGAGGAAAACCTGTAGGCATTGTTCCCAAACACTGTGTGCACCAAATGCCTCCGCTGGGAAGGAGGGTGGTCCCCAGCCATGGTCTGTTGTGGGGGCCACCGTTCTAGCCTAAGCTGACAGCACAGCACTTCACACATGGCCTGGAAATGCACCCAGGCTGTCTGCAAAGCACGTGGAGCCTGCCCAAGCCCTCAGCCTCCTTCTGCCTTGTGAAGTCGGGCACACACTCAGTGCTCAACTCATTGGCGAATGTCCTGACAAGACAGGCTGCGACCCAGACCCTTGTTAGCCTGGGGCACCACAGAGCTGTCTAAGCCCAGATACAAGCGAGCATTTGCTTTAAGAACACAGGTGAATAAGCTAAAGCTGTGACAACAAACTCAAGGCTTGCTCTTCACACCTCTGAGAAAGCAAACTTGGACCCTATAGTCCTCCTCAGAAGACTGCTGGGTGCTGCCATGTCCAAGACTTCTCATTGCAGCTATGGGTATGACAGGACCACGCGAAGGTTGATACACCTGCCAGGCAAAATCGGAGGCCCCTGACAGAGGTAAATGTAAGTCCTTGCATCCTAGTGCACAAAAAAATAATAACAAAATAGGGCTGGGGATTTAGCTCAGCGGTTCGGTGGCCTGCCTTTCAAGTGCAAGGACCCGAGTTCAATCCCTGGTACTACTACTACTACTACTACTAATACTAATAATAACAACAACAACAACAAAATAAATAAATTAATAATAAATAATAGCTATGCCAAACAAAGAAGAGGTCTTAAATGATCAGTGGCTCTTATCCCTCAAATTATTTGAAACACCAAACCGTAAAACACAGTGGAGCCATAAACCTATTCTGGAACTAAGAGCATCTTTTCTGAACTTACTCATTACCTTGATAGACAAAAAAGAAATGCCCATTCTGCATGACTAGAGCCATATACTTCACAACTGAAATGTACACTTTCTTTATATATTTTTCTGAGAAGGAAATTACTGAAACATTTTAAGTTTCTCAAACAATCAAGTGATGTAGCATCAGAGAGTGACCAAGATACCAAGGTCCTCAAATCCAAGACAAGCAGAATACCTGTTGAGTAAGCTCAGAAGCATGTATTTAAACACAGGTCCAGATGACCACATGTCCCCTCAAGCACTCATCCTAAACCAACCAAATCACCCAGAGGCAGAAGTAAGCCAAGTGCTAAATTTCTCCCAAACCTTGAAATCAGCCTTCCACATCACACCTAGAACACAACTTAATTAAAAATAAAATAGTTGTTTCCTTACTTTGTGCTCCCATCAGAGGTGAACAGGCAAGTGAGTGTGTTAACAACTGAGCACCTGAAATTCAAGTAGAGGTGCCGCCTGTGTCCTGCCCAGGTCCCCTTGGCTCATCATCAGGGCCGGTCAGAGTCACAGCACACACACTCAGTCTGCTCATCAGCTACAGAAGGCCTGGGAAACAGCAGCATCTGTTCCCAACTCAGACATCATGCAGAAGGATTGTCTTTTACACTATGAGTAAGACCTGCTCTGGGTCATCTCACAATCCTCCTGACCTTTCAAAAAACAACAGGAACCATAAAATTAGGAAGCTGAGCAGGAAGGGACAACAAGAAAATGAGGACACTTAAGGCCAACCTCAGAGCCCTCTGCTCCCCCCATTACTCTCACACACCAGCAACCAGGAGGCAGGCAGGGAGCTGCAGCACAGAGGCAGCCTCAAGCGTGTGGAGAGAGAGGTGCCTCTGGAGCTACACCAACCTAACCTAACTGCATGCTCCAGCACACTTTCCCAATCATTCTGTAGGCATCAGTTTCCAAAACAAGCACAATGTCCTCCAGATGACCACTACAAATCACACGCAGATTCAAAACAAGGGCTAAGGGTAGGCCTGTGACCTTCATGTTGTCAAGGCTCTGCAGTTATGCCTATGTGTAAGTCACAAAACTGTGTGCTGTAAACATGTGCTGCTGTACACACACACACACACACACACACACACACAACTTCCACGGGGTACCTAGTACACCAGAAGAGTTCTAAACTTACCATTACCAGCCACACCAAACACCCTCTCTTCTGACTGGATGGGCATAATACCAGTCTCCTTTGACAATATAGAAGAACTTTTATAAATAGCAAATCTAGAGACAATAACAATTCCCTAATGACTCGTGACTGAAACAGTAAAATAAGGAGAACTCCAAGCAAGTAGCCAAGACAAAAATCACAGTCCTACCATGGTTCTACTAGCTCATCACTTGGGCTTTAGTGATCTTCAGTTACTTCACTTGTAAGTGAAAATGAGGACTGAAGAACTCTCCCATGGTATTTGCTTCCTACCTTCTACTAAGTTGGGTATTTCTGTAAAATCTATGATCAGTCCATCAAAAGCATGGATTTACTCAATATGCCAATTAATGCCCTCGCTAAGGGGAACACAGAACATGAAAAGCCCATTTTAAAGCTGTTTACTTTTTTTTTTGGTACTGGGGATCAAACTCAGGACCTTGTGCTTGCAAGACAGGTGGTGGCCTGTCTAAATCCCTGGCCCTAAAGCCCTTTACTTTCAACCCCAACCTATGAAAGTCTTTCTCTGTGTCAAGAACAAAACAGCTATGACCAGCCCCTGACAGCAGAAAACAATCTACTCCATTTTAAAGACATCATTTCAAATCACACAAGAGTGTCTACTTTAAAGAAATGTATATCAAGGGTAACAATTTAAACTCCCTCCCCTTGTTTAGGATATAATATTGTTAGGATATAATATTGCCATAATACCATACATGGAAAGTAGAAAATAAAATATTCTTAAAAATAAGTCTAAAAAAAAGGGGGGGGCTGGGGATTTAGCTCAGTGGTTTGGTGGGCTGCCTTGCAAGCGCAAAGACCTGTGAGTTCAATCCCCGGTACCAAAAAAACAAAAAAAAAAAAGTCTATATAGGGCTGGGGATTAGCTCAGTGGTTCTGCTGCCTGCCTCAGAAGTGCAAGGACCCAAGTTCAATCCCCAGTACCAAAACAACAACAACAACAACAAAAAACAAACAAAAAAATAAGTCTGTATAACATCTGCCCATTACTTTTTGCCAAAGTACCATAGGATCTTGTGCTTGTGAGGCAGGTGGCAGCACCACTGAGCTAAATCCCCAGCCCAGAATACTGCTGCCTGCCTCAGAAGTGCAAGGACCCAAGTTCAATCCCCAGTACCAAAACAACAACAACAACAACAAAAAACAAACAAAAAAATAAGTCTGTATAACATCTGCCCATTACTTTTTGCCAAAGTACCATAGGATCTTGTGCTTGTGAGGCAGGTGGCAGCACCACTGAGCTAAATCCCCAGCCCAGAATGTTTTTTAAATGGCAGATATATTTGCACCTGAATTCCAACTAGCCCAGTGGTTTTAACCGGGGCAACTCTGTCCCCAGGAGACATCCAAAATTGACACAACAGGGGTGGCAGTAACTGGGGAGTGAGAGGACCTAAGGCTGAGGAGGATGTTGATAGAATCTAGTGGATGGTAGCCAAACAGGCTGCAAAATATCCTAGGATGCACAGAAGACTCCATGACAATGTTCTAATCCAAAATGTCCATGGTGCTAAGGGCGAAACCCTGAACTACCTAAGAAAACAAAGCAGTACAGACATAGTGGCATATACCTATAATCCCAGCACTCAGAAGGCTGAGGAAAGAAAATCACCGTGAGTTCAAGGCTAGCCTGAACCACATAGTGAGATTCTGACTCAAAAAAGAAAGAAACAAAACAAGGCAGCTGTGACTTGCTGGGCCGTGTATCACATACTCTCTTGGTACTGCCCGAGTACTCTCTAACATCATCCTTCCAGCAATTCTACGCAAAGTTATTATCATTTCTGTGTCATCGAGAACAGGAAATGAAAGCCACTTGACACAGGTGAAGTTAAGGTTCAAATCAAGGCAGGAGTCCAACTCTATCACCTAGCTTACCTGTTACCCTAGAACCATAATTCCAATGTTCTAGAGCCAAAAACAATGTGCCAGAAAGCTTCAAGGCACTATGCAAACCCATACTCCGTAAAAGGCACTAGGCTACCAGCCCACACATGCTGGGGCCCACTAGCCCTACAGTCTGCCTATATCCCCTCCCCCAAGAGGTGCTACTTCTTCCGGGGGGAAAAACCACCTGCACCCAAGTCAACCGAGAAAATGTCCAAAGCAAGTCTTTTAGAATAGTCTATCATTTCTAATACTTTCAGCTCTGTTTCTTTATTGTTTAGGATAAGAAAATCAGAAATATTAACATTAAAGGTATATTACAAACAACTAAAATTAATCTAAAACTAAACATATGCTAACAAAATAAACTTACCGGATTGGACTGTCCAGAAAGGTAGGGCTCAAAGTCACTGTCATGAACTGTATCCTTCTGATGCAAAGAACCATTTTGTACTAGAAAAAGAAGTTGGAAAATATTATCTCCAAGTTTTAAAAGATGATTTTTAAGCATGAAAACTAGTCAGTCAAGTCTACTTCCATCAACTTCTACAGAAGTTTTTATTTCATTTTAAAATGGACACAATCAGTACAGAGCTGATACACATACCCTATTTAATGAAGATGTACGACTTTAAATAATTTAGGTTATACTCTCTAATATAATCTTAATTTGGTAGGATGTTGACAAAATATAGGTCCAAAGAAAATACAGAAAATAAACACACACCAGGTTTGGGGAAACTGATAGTCTTGTTTTTTTGTTTGTTTGTTTTTTAGTTGTTTTAGGCAGTTCTGAGGATCCAAGCTGGGGCCTCTAACTGCCAGACAAGCACTCTACCAATCACATCCCCCACCCACGAAACTGACAGGGTCTAAGATCTACCTGCCAAACAGAGCAGAGAGCCTCCAAAAACTCAGCTAGTATGGAGGTGATGCTCAGCTGGGAAGGGGCTGTAATTGAAGCTCACTATTATCTGGCTCTCCACTTACTTTCCACTGTTACAATGCTCAGCCAGAAAGGAAAGGTAAATAAAGTGTTGGGTCTTTTCCAACCTTACTTAAAACACGATAAACCATATTTGGTTACACCCAAGTAGCAACACACCATTTAAACCCAAGTAAACATGAAGTGTCACTTACAGGTTCTTAAAACGGTAAATTTTAGTGGTTTATCTCAAGCCAAAATATCACAGCAGATGACAGAAGGCTTAAAAAACAAGCGCTGTAACAGGGAAGGCATGCTAACTGCCTGAGCCAGACCCTCCTGAGCGACAAGTATGTTGCTGAGACCCTGGTTTCTGTCCATAGCCCTGGGCAAACTTATCTCCTCCCCCTTGCCCCACCTAATCACTGATCTTGCAAGGCAGAGAGCAGGGAAGACTTGAACTACTCTGAGCACCCATTCATTTACTTCTCCTTGAAAAGTCCTTGTTTTCAACCTGTCAAATCTCCTGGAAATATAGTTTCATCTCTCCAAAGCTGGTGGAGAAAAGTAAGTTTTAGGTTCTAGATGGGATTGGTGGACCACGCGGGTAGGCGCTGCCAGGTCCTCCACTGCCCACACGACTGTCCCGGAACTCTGCTCACCTTTATTATCTTGTCCTTTTGTTCTCTGCAACGCCACAGGCCGGGATATGCCAACGGACACAACCCCGCCCGGAAAAGGAAAAACAAAGTTACTCTCTGGACTATGCTCATAGGCGGATGGCGCGACCCCAGCCCGGTCTCCATGATCCCTGCCCCACGACCCCGAACTCGGTCCCCAAGATCTCATGACCGACCCTATGACTGCAGCCTGGCCTCCAGGTCCCTCATCAGGATCCCGCACTGCGGACCTTAAACTGGCTTCCAGGTCCCTAGACTCAAGACCCTGGACCTGAGACCCTGGCATGGCCTCCATGTAACCCGGCCCGGGTCCTGCAATCCCAGACTCGAGATCCTAGCCCGGCCTCCAGGCTCGCGATGCTGGCCCCAAGACCCAGGCCCAGCTTCCAGATCCCCGTCTGGGCCCCCTACCTGGGGGTCCACGCTGGTGGCCGACATGCTTCATGAACAGCGCCGCGCGGGG